AGGATCCGGCGTCAGCCTTCATTCCGGCATTTCCTTGCTTTTGAGAGCATGAATTCACACCTGTTGTAGGTTCACAATGTAATTTGTGGACGAAATTCTAGCTAGACCTAGTATTGCCCTTCTAGGTTTTAGCCCATGCTGTTCTTTCTGATCACCTGCAGAGAAGTTTGTGAACAGCTAAGCCATCAGGAGCTTCATTTTATTCTGCCTTTTCATTTTACTGCTGAGTTTTCTGAGAGTGAAGTCAAAGTTACTTATATTAATCCTTACCTCTTGCAAAGCTCTTGTCCTCCCAGAGATCTCTGTGCACTTTGTAGAGAAAGAGCCATATAAATCATCCCTATTTTATTGACAGGGAAACTGAGGCACAGAGAGGGGAACTGACTTGCCCAACATTGAGTTAATAGCCTTGTAGAAATAGAATCCAGGTCCTTTGACTTCTAGTTCATTCATTTAGCTACTGGACTATGCCATGCAATGAGGTTTGTACAGGTAACCCATGAGTAAGTCTGTTACAAGTCCCCCCTGCACCCAGTTCACCAAGCCTAGAAAGTCTTGACTCCAGCCATAGCAGCATATGCTTTTAGCTCTGGCAGTCCCCAAAGCAATCCATGGTCACATCTGTGTCCAATGTAAGTGCCATTAAAGAAGCTGTCAGCTGCTGACTATCCCAGGCCCTCATCTGCATCCCTCTTCCCCAGTACCAAGAGATGGAGTTCTCATTAGGACACTGTTCATCATGAAGCCTTTCTTCAAGCCAGCTGACATGCCAAAAATTGCTAAACTGCTAATGCGGGACACAGTCTGAGATTGGACCTGTTCTTAGCAGGGGGTGGGACTCGATGATCTCCTGAGATCTCTTCCAGCCCTAGGATTCTATGTACAAATGTCACCAAGGTACAGATAGTGGACGGGACAAGTCGTGGTGAACTCAAGTTGTTCAGGAAGAGAGACGTCAGCGTTTGCTGTTACACAGCGGTTACGTAATAGAACAAATAGACTTCTAATCAAAGGGCAATGCAAAAGTGGGATGATGTGAATGTTGGGGTAGAGTGAGAACAGGGAGGGGGCAGATGGATTAAATATTGCCTTGTACTATGATAGAGGTGTCCATCGGTCTTGTTACATATATGGTCTCTGGCAAAGCAACTCACGGAAGACTCTGACGAGGCCATGGAAAAGCACTTCTGCTAAGCAATCTTTCAGAGTCAAGAAACAAACAGTTTGGGGTGAAGCCAGCTCTTCCCCCACAAATAAATCACTTGAGGCACCAGCCCCCTCTTAATCTGTTCTGCCTTTGACCTTTTCCATGGGTGACTAAACTAAGCCAGTGGCTGGTCTCTTGGGACAGAACAAACCCTGCCTCTGAAAGGTGAGCTATGAAGCCCAGTGAGCAATCATCCATCAGCCAAAAGAAACTCTCTTGAGCCCAAGAATAGAGCAGCAGGAGAAGGCTGTTATTAGCCATGTGTCTGTAACTTATTAAATGTTTTTCTTTGCCATGAAAGGTTTGGGTCAGGAAGATAAATACAGAGATAAATAATGGTGCTGTTTATGCAATCGATGGTTGTGACTTATGCTTGAGGCATGGCTAGACTAAGTATAATTATTAATAAGAAACATTAGACAATTTATGGTCCTCAGCATGGGACTCGCTGGATCTGGTTATAATAAGGTTTAATGGGAAAAAGAAAAGATTTCAGACAGTTGAGGGCTTCTCAGGGCAGGGATCAAAACTACAGGGACTGGAAAAGGAGCTTGTTGTAAACAGAGCCCCTATTCCCAGGATGTTTAGATCAGTGATGGCTTCAGCCCCAAACTTACAGATAAACACCCTAGACTCTGGAATTTCAGATCCAAGTCAGGGTTTCAACTTGGGACATTTCTAGAGCCTGAACCTGAATTTACTTATTCAAGGCATGATCCAAAGCTTATAAGGTCAGTGGAAGGGCTTCCATTAATATCAGATAACACCTTCAATCTCCCATTGATGGTTATTGGAGTATTGCTTTAATGAAGACTTCAGGCTGGAGCTCCTGAAAAAAATCCGCTAATCCATTACAGTTATTCCTGGTTAGTCTGAATCCATGTAACAGACCAGGGCCAAGTGAACAGTTTGGGCTCCAAAGCCTAACATGGCTATAATTATTAATGATTTGCGCATCTAGCATTTACAACTGTGCCATATTCATTTAAAAGGAAATCCAGTCCTGGAAGGTATGAATAACCCACATATTGGATCAGAGTGAGGCAGACTCGAGGGCTCGAGACATGCTGAAAGGTCATTGCCACTGGATGCAGTAACAAAGGAACAAAGTGTTTTGGATCCTACAGATGAGAATGGATGAAGAGTAGAGCAGGCTGGAAGCTTTCCTACAAAACATTTTGTCAAGTGAAAATGTCAATTTATCAAAACTGCAAGAAAAGGGTCGGCCTCCCCAAATCTCCTGATAGGAATTAAAAATGTGGATAAAAAGTTCAGAAATTGTAAAAAAAAAAAATCTTTGTTCGATATTTTCAAATCAAAAGGCTTGGCTTTTTTAATCGGAAATTATTTTTATTCCCAAATGTAAATAATTTACACTAAAAGCTTATAAAAGGGAAAAATCAAAACAGTTTGAAATTATCTAATGAAGCATTTCAGTTGACACAGTCTACATTTTTTACAGGTTATTTCTTCATAAAGATTTTCAAGGTTTGTGTCTTGTTCGGGGACAGGAAAAAAAATTCAAAATGTCAAGTTCTTGTGGGCAACCATTTCCCCCCCCCCCCATTCTAATGCAGAATGCGTTCTTCAGGGGGCTCTGTATGGTTAATCGCTTAATCGCTCTCCACCGACTAGGCACAGGGGCTATTATAAAGCCATTCACAGAGCCCTTAACTCCACAAGCACAGAGCATGAATCAGATTCAGCCCTTACAACAGGGCTAAAATTGGTGAACTGTGTTCAAAGGTGGAAGGGGGCACCAAGTATTGCAGTGTATGGCTGGTTAGCTTCTCCTGCAGCACATCCTCCTGCACTCACCATGGCATCTGTGGACTTAAGTCCTAGCACATGCCACGGAAGAGAAAAACCCGAATCTCCAGCAGGCATAGCTTTGTCCTCGGCAGAGCTAGAGTCTTAATCAGGTCACTCAATGAACAAAAGGAAAGCAGCTCCCCACTCCCCACCAACTGCTATACCACCTGTCTGATGCCCAAGCCACGCAGAGTCTCACCTGTAGCACCTCTGAAAAGAGACAGGACTCAGCTGTAATGAATATAAAGGTAGCTTTTTATTGAGGCAGCAGGACCCAGACAGACCTGGGGTTTGCTCTAGTCTCCAGCTCCCATGCTGATAACTGCAGCCCATGCTTCCTACTGCAGTGATATCCAGACTGAGGCTCACCAGCTGAAAGTGGCTCTTTGCCACACACAATATTAAAACACTATGTGATTTAATTGTTAACCAGTCTTAGCTATTAATCCATCAGGATGCTTTTACTATGATATTAACCAACGGTAGTTGATAAAATAATAATACGTGGTCAGTCATTTGGCTGTATAAATAATCCCTGATATTAATCCATCAGGATGCTTTTACTATGATATTAACCAACGGTAGTTGATAAAATAATAATACGTGGTCAGTCATTTGGCTGTATAAATAATATAACACTAAATATTTCCCCCATCACACCATTTAAATGCAATCAGACTGCACTACTGTAAATGAAATAAGGAATTCACATGACCGTGGCTCTTGTGGGTAATGTTGATTTTTAATTTGGCTGCAGAACCACAGAGGTCTGAGTATCACTGGCCCTAATATCACACCACCGTGTTGGGACTAAACATTCCTGGACTAACCAGCTGGCTACGCTACTGGATGCCGTCAGATTTACATAGGAGCTTTCCGAGGGGCACTGAGATGCTGCAGAAGAATGGCGATTCAGTAGGCGGCACGTTTCTAGCTGAGCCAGTCCTGAGCCCATGTTGGGGAGCTAATGGAGGTGCCTGTTCTTAGAGGAGATGTCAAGCTGCCATCCTGATTGTCTGTGGTGCTTAAAAATCCCCCGGCTCTTTTTGGCAGAGTAGAGCATCAGCTCAGGTGTCCTAGTCAAGAGAAGGGATTTTACATCCATGAAGTTCAACCGGTTATGGAATTCTTCATTTGCCTCTTAACGATGTCTGGTGTAGGGCTGCTGCCGTGTTCCATCCCAGCAGAGGCCCCGTTTCAATGATCTCTCTGGATGGTCTGCAAAGCACTTTGAAATACGTTGTAACTAAAGGTGCGAATGGTGGTACACAGCCTATGAAACAGACCAGGGTGGTAAGTACAGATATATATATTAGGGAGGAGAATCACTGCTCCACTCACATGATGTAAAAGTCCCCATGATCCCCCATGTAGTTAGCACAGATAGTCTCATCAGTGGCAGACAATCCCCTCAGCAATCTGGTTGACACCCATGCTGCTAAAAATCCATCTCCCTGATCCAGCTTCCATTGCAGGACACCGGTGTTCATACTCTCTCCTGCTAGGAAGACTAAATACATGTCCCGAGATTTTGATCTTGATCCATGTGTGCTTATGTTATATGGGGTGTTTGGACCTTGAGTGCTGGCTTGGCCCCACTTTGGACATATAGGCAATGATCTTCAAAATGCTAGCTGGCTGTCATTCTGTGGAAAAGGGCCTTATGTGGCTAGAACTTAGGAATAAGCATGGGACCCAAGTTGACCATCCTGTGTGCTAGTCGCATGTCTCAGACCACAGGATACTCTGGAAATAGCCACTTTCTTTTTAATACTATGTAACGTGTATTGTTATGGCACTTGAAAGCTCTGGTTAGGATCAGGGCCCCATTGTGCTTACCTCTATACTTAGCTACATGAAGCCATATTTTAAATTAATTGAGATTGCCTAGTTCCTAGAACTGGAAGGGACCTTGAAAGGTCATTGAGTCAAGTTGAGTTCACTCCCCTGCTTTCACAGCAGGACTGAGTACTATCCCTGACAAGTTTTTGCCCCAAATGGCCTCCATAAGGATTGAATTTACAACCCTGGGTTTAGTAAGCCAATGCTCAAACCACTGAGCTATCCTTCCCCCCTCTGACCTTAGTGATCTTACATCTTAATAACACAGTGATGAATGCAATACAGTCAACTACAGAGAATGGCAGTATACATTGAAACCTGTATGTTTGTATTATGATAAATAAAATGCCAGCTCTTCCCAGGTGTGGCTCAGCCTAGCTAGCCTAATTGGTGAGTTAATCCTGGTGGAGGAGGGATTTGAAGGAAGAGGGTGGGAGCACTGGCATTTTAGATTGGTTCAGGACGGGCAGTGGGAAGATTTTTGGGTAAGAAGCTGAAGGCTGCAGCTGCCATCAGGAAGGGTGATGAGTGTACAGAGATGGAGGGGCAGAGCTGTGAGAGACCTTGAAGGTGGGGGAAAGATGCTTCTCAGTGGAGAACCTGACTTGGGTCTAAGGATGCTGGAAGTTGGAGTGAAGCAGCATCCCCTGGCTTAAAGCACTAATAGCAATCCATGAATTCTATCATATAAATGGTTTGGTTCAATGACTTTCAGGGCCCCCGCTGTAAAAACGGTGCCACCCAGTGACCCTATCTGAGCAGTGCTACAACTGAGCAGCAGTGACGAGACTCTTAACAGGCATCGCTTTAGGTTCATAGGGTTTTCCCAGGCACAAGTGCAGCTAAATGCAGCCTAGAATCAGGGAACATGAGTTCCCTGGAATGTGCACTGAGATTATTGGTGAAAGTTGCTCAGAAATTTTGCGTCTCTACCATGCGGGGTAACAGGTGTGTGTAGCAGTTAGGACAGGTGTGCAAAGCAACCTATGGGCATTTAAACATTCAGCGAGTGGGGAGTATAATGAGCCAGAATCTGCTCTGCTTTTCACACAAGGAACTTCACTGGTTTCAGTGGCGTCACTCCAAAGAACCTGGCTTTAGAGTTCCAAGAGCAAGTGCAACCGCTCGGTTGGGTCTGATGAACCTGCAGACCCAACATGATGTCAAAGGGAGTTGGTCAAATTCTTGTTTGTAATACTAGTGCAACACAAAGTGAAATCTCCCCTTCTGTACCCCTGGCCAGGTTCCAACTGTACCGGCCCATTTCTGCTTGCAGGAGATGAGCCCTCTGTGTTTCAACTCGTTAGTCCTTCCACACAGGTCAGTCCCTCTGTGACAGCTTCTCCACTCACGTCTTGCATAGGTAGTTACACCAGTCAGGCCGGCTGCCATTTTTACACACTTTGCACGGGTCCAAGTGGTGACACCAGGTGCATGACTGTGTTGTTTCCATAGCAACAAACTCCTGTCGTAAATGCAAAAGGTGATGTGACGGAAGGAGAACCTGTGTGGGAGAATGACTTTCTTAAGCACCTAAGAGTCCTGATAACAGCCAAGTAAACCAAATAATCATGGGCAAGTCTATTTCTTTTGGTCCAGACAAAGTTGTTCTACTTGTTTCTCATCAAGTTTGCTTCAGCACAAGTCCACTGCTCTGGCTACAAGGCCACTTGGGTTGTGCCTGCCCCCATTCCACACTGCTCCTATCCTGTAAGGGCTCGTCTACACAGCAGGGCTAAACTCGAAATAAGCTGCGCAACCTGAGCTACACTAATCACATAGCTTAAGTCGAGATGGCTTATTTCGACTTTTGGCGCTGTCTACACAGCAGTTATTTCGAGAGATGGCACTCCCCCCCCCCCCCAACTTCCCTTACTCCTCGTATGATGAGGGTTACAGGAGTCCGAGTAAGAAGACCTCTCTCTCGACATTATGTCGAAACAACTGCTTGTGTGTAGACATGGACTATGTGTAGATATAGCCTAAGACGGTAATGAGAAGCATGGCCCTAGAACTGAGCCTCTTTCCTGCGCCTCTTATGAACAAACCCATCCCCCCACACCCTTTCTGTGCAACACCAGAAGGGCCATTCAGCAAGCCACTCCCCTCTCTTGGCCATTATAATGGAATGACTTTTCCCAACATGGCAATGAGCTTGCCTGTCAGCCGTGTGCACAGAAGCAGGATCTCTGCTTTGGACGTGCAGGGCAAGCCAGAGAGAATGTTCTATGGCCCAGGAGGGGAGAGAAGTGTGGAATGGCTCCTGCACGTTGTTCTCCTGCAGCCAAGTGGCTCTGCAGCACTCTCCAAGATGCAATATTCTTCCTCAAAGAAAACCTCCAATCTAACCTCCGTCAGTAACCCCCCATGCACTGACTGGCCATTATAACGAAGCAGGGGGTGGGGTGGGGTTGCAGCACACTGGCATACCTAGGCATTGGTTTGGGAAAAATAGGTTTTGATCACTGGAACTAGGAGGGCAACGAAACCACATTCCACACAGACATCTTAATCATTCACTTGGCTGAGAGGCTAGAAAGCAGCAGCATTTTAAAAGCTGAGATTCCCGCGAGCAGTCTATTAAAGCCAAAGTTCAGTCCTGTCCAGGTCCATGTGAAACTGCCCCGGAGTCAGATTATTTTTCAAAGCCAACAGGAAAAGTTCCACTAGGTGACATTGAAGGTGATGAAGGAGCTGGCTACTTTCTGCTGGCGCCCTAGCTGCTCCGTCTCCCCCCACGGCTGGCCTGGGACCTGGCAGCTGGTGAAGATCCTGGCGGGTGGGGGCTCACTGATGTGTGTCACTTCAGTCAGATCCGCCTCCAGGGTGCTGACTGTGTTGGTCACCTGTGCCACATGAACTTTATTGGCCACCTTCTTGTGCAAGAGGCAGTTGAAGATCTTCTTGAAGCCCTTGCGGAAATGCTTGGAGACCAGGGCATAAACAATGGGGTTGACACAGGAGTTGGCGTATGAGATCAGGTGCGAGAGGATCCTAAGCACATAGGTGGCGTGGTTGAGAGGGAAATAGCCGAACCAGACACATAGGATGATCAGGTGATGGGGCAGCCAGCAGAGGCAGAAGAGGACAGCTACAATGATGATCATCCTCGTGACCTTGCGCTTGGCCTTCTTGGATTCGGACATGTCTTCAATGGGATCCACGGATGTCCAGAGGTAACGGATAGTCCTCATGTAGGTGAGGCTAAGGATCAGCACTGGGATGACATAGCTGAAGATGAAAGTGCAGATGTCCATGATCTTGCGTTGGGAGATCTTCCAGATGGGATGGCAGACGGTCAGGTTGGCCATCTGGAACTCCTGGTAGTAACTGAGGTACGGGCCAGAGAAAATAAAGGAAAGACCCCAGATGAGGCAAATGGCTGTGAGAGCATTCCTGGGGGTTCTGAGTTCTCTAGAATGCAAAGGGTATCGAATGGCCAAATACCTGCAAGAGAGAAAACAGAACAAGACTACAGTTCTATTTAAAACAGAGAAAACTTTGTAAGGCCCACTCAGCTGTGTGCAGAGAAAGAGTTAAAATGAAAAACCTTTGCACTTCTAATGTAATTTCTCATGCAACTAATTGCCACATTTCCAAGGGCTTCTCTGCAAAGAACCCTAGTGCACAGGTGTGAAGCTAGAATGTGACTCTACAGCACACTAGCCAGCCATGTGCTAACTGGCAAGACAGATCCTGCTATCATGCACTAAAAGTTCCCCAGCGTGCTTTGACATAGTCAAACTTTTAGTGCATGGTAACTGGTATCAGACAATACATGCATCCCTAGCTAGGATGCTGGATGGAGAGATTTCAATTTTGGAAATGCCATCTACAAAATCCAAAGGGCCTTGAATTTGAACGTCTGGTTTTGCCTCTCTCTGTATATGACAATGACATCAAAAATCAAACTCGAAGGGTTGTGCTTTCAATGCCTCCTCGTGGAACGAGGTGTACCGGTAGTTCGAATTAGAGAGCCTAACTCGTGTAGCCACGAGCACGGAGTCTGAACTAATGGGGATTTAAAAATGGCAGCGCCCGGCAAGATGCAAATGAAGCCCGGGATATTTAAATCCCAGGCTTCATTTGCAACTTCGAATGCCTACGTTAGCCACCCTAGTTTGAACTAGGGTGGCAGTGTAGACATACCCTGAGAGTTTTTGCCAGGGACTTTACTAGCACAGGACCTTCATCTGGTCAAGATGCAGGGTTCCTATTTCTCCTTAGCAGGGCATGGTGTGGCCCCTTGGCCACCTCCCATACTCCACCTGGGCCCAATCTACAGAGGCTGTGATTTTGCAGCAGCTCCTAGCTCTCATGCAGAGTCCTTCAGCTCAAACAGTGAGGGCTCATGCTTTCAGCTCTGCAGAGTCCCAGTGCAGTTCCTTGGGCAAGGGATATTGGGTGGTCATTATATGTGACTAATATACCATTTTAAAGGGGGATTACATTATTAATAATTGTAACCATCATTTAGCATAAATGAATAGGCTTGCATTCCAAACCCATCAGAACCCTCCCAGAGAATATTCAGTCTTACCATGGGCACAAAAATGCCAGCTAGGATTAATATGTCTAACTAGAAAACTTACCCAGCATTGCCTGAGTCCAGCCTGGGCAGGGGTGGGTGCACAACCTGGCTGCTGGCTTCTCCCCGAGGATAACTCCTTCCTACCAGACTCCTCCCTTCCCATTTTATGAGAAACGATTGAATTCCAGGAACATCCCAGTGTCCTGGCACAACCAAAGCCTGGTCTTGCTTTAAGTTAGAAGAGGAAGCTGCAGACCAGATTTGATGCTCCTAGTTCTTACCATTCGGGAGGAGTTCTTGATCTAAAACTCACAGGCAACCAGACAGACGCATGTTTCTAAAATATATAGATCACTGTTCTGGTGGGTGTGTGTGTGTGCAAAGTAGCTATTGCTGTTCAGTCAGCAGTGGGGACCAATCCTGTGAGCACCCTTACCTCCCAGCTAGGTGCTCAAAGGGACGTCAGGATACTGAGTGCATTGCAAGACTGAGATTTTGCTGGTGAGACACATTTGCATACATCTTTACCCTAATCCCAAGCAGCATGAATTTTAAAATGTGCCTCTAATTCACAACAGGCTTTTAAATGTGCTTTGAGCATCCTCCTACACTCACTAGTAAATTCCTCTTGATGGTTATTACTAGGTAAACAGTCTCCAGCTAGCACATGAGAAAAATGCTAGGTTTCTATTCAGAGACATCACAGTTCCAACCCCTCAGCCCTTATTCCCCAGGCCAGTGGGACTGTCTGTTGTCAGGGTTTTTGTTCTGATTGCAGGATCAAGCCCAAATCCTACAGGCGTGGGATTTCCTGCAATTCTCCAGCCTTTGGGTTCTCACTGGAAACCGAGTTGTATTCTCTGGGATCTAACATTTCCTTTATGGAGGAGGGGGAGGGGGAAAGAATCATGAAATGTAAATGTTCACAACTCTGGTTTTCAAGCCTCCCGGGTACAGACTGATGCCCACTGAAACCAATGGATAGAATCCACCACACCCAGAAACGTGTAAACTATCCTCTATCTGCTTTTTTTTTATGGTTGCAGAATTCAGCTGATGCAGTGAAGGCCATTTCAAGTACTAAGTGCTCTAAGTGTATGTCTATACTACACGCACTAGAGCAGCACACGGACATCCATGCCACTATAATGCAGGCACTTGTTACAGTGACAAGAGGGTTTTTCCATCACTGTAGTAAATCCATCTGCTTGAGAGGCAGCAGCTGGGTCAATAGAAGAATTCTTCCATTGAGCTAGCGGTGTGTATACCAGGGCTTAGGCTGGCTAGCCTATGACTCTCAAGGGTGTGAACTTTTCACATCTCTGAGCAACAAATCTAGGCCAAGCTACATTTTAGGTGCAAATCAGACTTGTGTGTGTCATCTAGAAAGTTAATTCCCCAGGCTGAATCATAATAATTATGCTTTTGTGGTAAGATGAGAGCACTAGAAATGGCAAGGAAATGATTAATTTTGGGGCTTGCAAAATTTTGTTAGAAAATTGCCATTTCACCCCTGACATTTTGGGCCTGATTCTGCAAAGAGGCTGAGTGCCTCTCTTGTGAGGTTCTGGACACTATCCACTCCCAAAGGATTGGCTTGGGTCCCTTCTCATGGATGGGGGTCCCTCATTTAGTACATTGACTCTAACTCGTGTCAATAGCAAGACTGGAACTGAAATAAATCGAGTGGCAGTTTTTGACAAGGGAGAGGGACCTCCGAATATGGAAAGAAAGGCTGCATCTTTGAAACTTTGATCCATTTTTACTACTCCAAGGGACTTTTGGGGGGAGGGATAGCTCAGTGGTTTGCGTGTTGGCTTGCTAAACCCAGCATTATGAGATCAATACTTGAGGGGGCCATTTAGGGATCTGGGGCAAATCTGTCAAGGAATGGTACTTGGTCCTGCTGTGAGGGTGGATGCAATGACCTAGCACAGTCCCTTCCAGTTCTATGGTATAGCTCATTTTTGGACTCCTTGGTTCTGGACTGACTTTATTATTGTGGCAGAAGCCTGGCAGAAAAATACTGTGAAGATAGGCACATTGGAAATGTCAGTGAAAGACTAAATTAGTAAGAGATAGCAAACAAGAGGCACAGGATGTTAGTTTCCTTCAGTCTCATTCACAGCTCCCATGGCTTTATCCTCTGAAAACTGTTATCAGAAACAACAGGAACAGGGTGCTCACACATAGGGAGGATTTAAATGATAGGTTAATAATCTCCTGATGATACATCAAACTCCTGTGGTCTCAGTTCCCTTTCGCATATTTCACAATAATCTTCACTCAGGTGTAACTCCACCTTCATCAATAGTTACTCCTGATTTTACATTGGTGGAAGAAGAGAATCAGGGTTTAATTACACGCAGGTTTGGAAGGACTAGCTTTTATCACTAACAAAATATGTAGATGATATCATGAGTTTTTGTGGGCACAGACCACTTCTTCAGATGATTGGAGTGTTGGATGTCCAGAACCATTCAACACTCTGGCCATCTGAAGAAGTGAGCTGTGCCCACGAAAGCTCACGCTACCCTCTACATATTTTGTTAGTCTTTAAAGTGCTACCAGATTATTTGTTGTTTTTTAGTTTTTCCTGTTACAAACTAACTCTGCTATCCCCTGAAGCTTTTATCAGTAAATGTTGGCAAACATTGATTTTAAACCAGTGGGCATACACTAATTGATGAAAAAATACTTCTATTGATAATAATCAAACTATATAGATGTGCAAAGTAAGAGAAGTGCAGCTTAAGAACATATTAGGGTTTGACTCAAGGATATTTATATTGTGTATTTGACATGTAATGTGAAAACTTGGGTTTTGGCTACAAAGTGTATTTTTTAATATGTCATTAAATAATTCTTTCTCCCCATAGGTGCTGGAATTGGGGATGCTGCCACACCCCCTGGCTTGAAGTGGTTTCTGTCATATCCAGGATTTATAGGTTGGTTCAGTGACTCTCAGCACCCCACTGTACAAATTGTTTCTGCACTCCTGTGTCCCCCTGATTTCTCACAACTGTGAAAATGTAAATGGATAACAATAGCAAATATGCCTAAAAATAAAAAATGATCTTATCTGTCAAAATTATACAGAAATAAAAATCAAATTATGCCAAGCTGAATTATGCATGTCCTTCTATGGCTCCTTTGGTGACAAATGCCTGCCGCGTGTTCTTAGAAGCAATTATTTATTGCCAAACAAATGAGACTTATAACAAATAAAATACAGCTTTGTGGAAGGTAAAGAAAAAAGACAACTTTCTGTCTCATTTCTGCTCTGTAGAGGACTGCCAAGGGTTTGCTAAAAGGGCTTTTGGCATCTTCCTCATTGGCCCTTACGATCCAAATATCTTGCAGGTTTAAAGTACTCTAAACCCCGAGTACTTTCGGCATGAAATAGAAAATATTCTAATAGAAAAGCTTCAAGAGCCAGTGTTCTCTTTTTCTCTGCAAATTAATTACATCTTGGCCTCTTGAATGCTGAACTCTTGCTGGAGATCAGCAGCAGGCAATCACAATTCCAAATGTCAAAAGCTGCAGGCTGCCTTCATTAGAGACAATTCCAATTTCAAACCTCAAGGCTGGACATGACAGTTTTAACTGACACCCAGCATTCATTCTATTGTCCGGTGTTCCCACACCAGCCTGGAATCGTCTCCCGATGTTTTAAAAATTATAATAATAATCTATCATGTATGTTAGAGGGAAATGTTCATATAAGCTTGTAACAGGGGCTGGTGAGTGGAAACTCTTTTTAAAAAAGATTTGCCTACTTTGACATCTATCAAATGCTATTTACAAAGAGATATGATTTTTGCAATTCCTCAAATGAGCTGAGATTTTTGCAATTCCTCAAATGCTGCCTCCGTTATGACATCTCTTTCTGAGCCTCTATATGCCATATAGTCTATAGATCACGAGAATTATAGCTTGTTTCTCTCTTTGCTTTTGATAACCTGATCAATTTATCTTCCAAAGCCTTGAGTTCAAATGATCAAGGACTGATTCTGATCTCAATTCTCACAGTATAAATCTATACTGACTCCAATGACATAACTAGCTTTTCTGCACATGTATGTCAGTGTACATGAGATCAGAATCTAGCTGCCAGTTTCTTTTGAATCCCTTTCCGTCTTGTTCTATATGTTTCCCAGCAATTTTGTTGTCCTTTAGCAATTCTAGACACTGGAAAATTTCTGATCATTTAGGGATATTCCTTGCAGTTACATACACAAGTAGCCTGTGGTCAGGTAGGTAAATGCTCATTGGTAGGCATATGAGATACATATTATGACCCTCGAGAGTTTCTCTGCTGTTAGCTTTACACCAGCATTCAGTTGTGATCTGCTCTTAAAAGGCGGCTTTGGCATGTGAATAAAGTCCCCCAGGAGACTTAGGAAGTGTAGAGTTCCAAATCTGCCATTTACATTCTTCAGTTTAATTAACACATACTCCTATTTACCAAGCTACTACTCACTGTACTTGGGCAAGCCTGCTCTTTAATCTGCCCTGAGCCCCTTGGGGACAGGGATGTCTCCACTGTAGCTTCCTTAGGGGAGATTTGGTTTGGGATGTGGTTTGACCTGCATGTGTCACCCATTTACCCATCTCTGGCTCTCTCAAAGAAAATCACACTGGTGTGACTTGTTGTCACGCCTCCAAGAGACAGTATTAAACCAACCTAAACCCTGATGCAGACAGCACTGGGTTGATGGAGGAATTCTTCCACTGACCTAGCTGCTGTCTCTCAGAGGGAGAATTAACTAAAACCACAGAAAAACTCCTGCTGCCGCTGTTGCAAGTCTCTACACTATAGTGATGGGGTTGTGTCACTAGCATTTGTAACAAGTGATGATGAGCTGCTGTAAAGCTGAGTTTACACTGATGGGCTGCGTCTAGACTGACAAGTTTTTCAGCAAAAGCAGGTGCTTTTGCTGAAAAACTTGCCAGCTGTCTACACTGGCTGCTTGAATTTCCGAAAGAACACTGACTTCCTACTGTCTGAAATCAGTGCTTCTTGTGGAAATACTATGCTGCTCCCGTTCGGGCAAAAGTCCTTTTGCGCAAAGCTTTTGTGCAAATGGGCCAGTGTAGACAGCTCAGATTTGTTTTGCGCAAAAAAGCCCCGATCGCAAAAATGGTGATCAGGGCTTTTTTGAGCAAAAGCACGTCTAGATTGGTATGGATGCTTTTCCGCAAAAAGTGCTTTTGTGGAAAAGCATCCATGCCAATCTAAACGCTCTTTTCCGCAAATGCTTTTAACAGAAAACTTTTCCGTTAAAAGCATTTGCGGAAAATCATGCCAGTCTAGACGTAGCTGTACTGTTTAGTCCTGTAACTAATCTCTAATCTTGTTCCTGAATTAGTTCCTGAAAAGGGATTTTAGGCCATTTCTACACTACAGCTGCTACAGCAGCACTGTGATTGGGTCACCCTGTAGACACCTCTTACATCAAGAGCAGGTGTTTTTCCAGCAATGAGATTACTCCATCCCTCTGAGAGGTGGTAGCTAGGCCAATGGAAGAATTCATCTGCTGCTCTTTCTGTGTACACATAAGGGGTTAGGTCAACTTAGGTATAACAGTTGTCAGAGCCCTGCATGACTTAGATAGATCCCTCTAACTTTTAAGTGTAGACTGGACTGACTGAAATCTGCTGAAATCTTACCCCTTTCCACCTCCTTCCATTTCACTGAGCAACCTCCAGGCCCTTTGGGGATGAGTCAAGAAAAAGCAGGACTGTCTCTCAATGGACCCACTCCAGATTTCCTCTGGGTGCATGAGCAAAGACTCAGGCCCTGCACCTGGCCTGGATCACAATTTGGTTAGTGCCTAAACTCCACCAGCCATGGCTGAGCCCTCCAATGCAAAGTGCTGCTGGTTTCATCTCCTTTGGCCAAGGGAATGGTTTGCAGTCCACTGCCCCATCCCCTAATGAATTCATCCACTCTGAGCTGGCCTTGGGTCCAGTTCAACCACCTCTGGGTGGCTGATGCCTCCACTTTCTCTCACTGCAGGGCTCAGTCCCATTTCCTCTAAGCTGCCTCTTTCCACCACCTCTGCCAAGAGCTTGCAAGTTGCCTTCTGCAGCTGGGGCTTGGCAGCTCTCAGGGACACACCACCCTGCCAGCAGCAGGAGAGCTTCTGGGGGGGATGACTCCTGCCCCCCCATTGCACCCCTGTGCTGTTACAGTTGGTGCTCCCCAGCACTCCCTGGGAACCTATAAGTGGCAGGGTGGGCTGGCTGGCAAGTACCCAAGGAAAGTTGCTGAGGTATTGGCCAGGGAGGGGGAGAAAGTTGGGCAGCCTTGGCCCCCCTGCTGCCCTGGCCTCTCCCTTCCCTACCTGTCCAGGGAGACGGTGGCCAGGGTGAAGCTGCTGGCGTACATGGTCAGGTAGATGAGGAAGTGCACGGCTTTGCAGAGGAAGGGCCCGAAGACCCAGCCCTCCAGGGTGTAGATGGTGGCTTGGAAGGGCACGCAGCAGACGATGAAGCACAGGTCGGCCACGCCCAGGTTGAGGATGAAGAGGTTGGTGGTGTTATTCACCTGCCCGTTGCGCAGCAGCACGGCCAGCACCAGCGAGTTGCCCACCGTGCCCAGCAGGAAGATGAGCGAGTACACCAGCGGGATGAGCACGGACTCGGGCTGCCAGCCGGCCTCGCCGCCGGACGCGTTGAGCTGGGCCAGCGAGCTGTTCATCCCCGCGGCCAGCCCGGCTCCTCCCCAGACTCAGCTGTTCAGCGAAGGGGGCGCGGGGCAGGGGCGGCGTGGGGATCCTGGCTCGCTGGCATCCTCCGGGCGCTCTCGGCTGGAGGCCAGCCCCTGCCCTTCTCCGCGGAGTCGCGCTTAGTCCGCAGCCGCCCAAGTTGCTCCGGGGTTGTTCTCGCTCGGCTGCTCAGCGGGCTCCAGAGCGTTCCCCAAGCCCGGCTCAGCGCCTCTCTTGCGGGTGGGCATCGCTGCCGGGTCTTTAAAGGGGCGGACAGGGACGGGGCGGGGAGCGAGCAAACTTCTTGGCAGTTTCTCTCTTTCTTTTGGTGCCCTCCCTCCCCGCAGCCCAGCGCTCTGAGAGCTCGGCTTGCGGGGGAATATATAGACCCGCGCCAGGCTCCGGTTTCCCTGGAGACAAATACCCGAAATACAATTAATGGTGTCTATGGAAACCTACAGCTCGCTCCCGGCGCCCTGGGCGGGTGGCTGGTGCCTGCCCCTCAGAGGAAGGGAGGGCGCCAATGTGCCTTCGGGAGGCGCCACGGGCTGTTTTCCTCCGCGGAAAGCTTGTGGGGAACGTTCCTAATGCTCCTCGAACTCCGCTCCGCAACTGCGGAGAGCTGCGCTGCCGCGGGCCGGAGCTCCGCGCAGTGCGGTGCGGAACAGGGTCTGCGGGCAGGAGCCAGCAGCTAGGCCAGCTCTTGGACTGTTGATTTGTGTCTAAGATCCCGCTACCCCCTTTCTCCCGAGCCTGCAAATGTTCTTCTGCCCCGCCCCCCCGAAAATCGGGGGGAGTTTTGCAGGAGCCCAGGAAAGGCTGCAGGGTCGATTTGAGGGTCACCGACAGTAGATGAGCAGCCTCCGGCCAGCTGGTCATTTGTTTCTGTTATTAGGGTAGCATCGTGCCAGTCACTGAGCGCGCAGAACATGGTCCCTGCACCAGAACGCTCTAGTGTGGCCCCCGAGGTGCAGAAGAGTTGTTGGCTCTGTCATCCTTTGAGCAATAGGGAACTAATCCTGCAAACCCGTGCGCAGGGGAACAAATCTTTACGCCTCTCCTCGCCACCCGCTGCAAAATTGCTTTTTCCCCCTCTGGAAATAGTTTTCTTCATGTCGTAGAACGCCACCGACTCTTTGAGCATCTTTCACTCCGGTGATTTTCTGCCTCGGCTTGTAATTAGTCCCGGTGTCACTGACACGTTCCACTTCCCGCTTAAGGATGTCAGAGGGCCTTCTGAGCATTAACGTGGGAAACCTCACAGCAGTCCCAAAAGACAGCGGGCAAACTGAGGCAGGGAGCAGTGACGTGATTTGCACAGAGATTGGTGGCAAACCAAAGCAGTAAGAGTGGCTCTGCTGAGTCCAGTCCTGTGCTTTAAACACTAGAGCCTGCATCTGCAATTGCATTCTGA